TACTTTATGATATTCTAGCATGTTGCAAAAACTTAATTGAGGATGATAGACAATTGGGGTACATTGTTTGTGATTTGAGGCATGCGGACCTATATTTCAGTCTAGAAGTCCTTAATTGTTTCATTTCAAATTTTGGAAATATATTGGGAACTAATTTAGTATCCTCTACTACTTCTACTACATGTTTTGATATGATTTATGGTTTAAATCTGCTAACTTTGTTTGGTTTACTTCCTTTAACTATTACTTTAAGTGGTAGTTTAGATGGAAGTAGGGGATTGAGTTATATGTATCTCAAGGTAGCGAAGGGAAAATGCGTAAAGTATTCAAATTAGGTTATTAGGTTTGGGTGCTTAGGCAAAAATGGCATGTTCGAATGCAAAGAATGTTAACATTTCATCCTAGAAGAGGTGGACCATTCCACGTCATTGCAAGGATTGAAAATAATAGCTACAATTTCGATCTTCAAGGTAAATTTGTAATAATTTGCATTTTTTATGTTTCTTATCTTGCTCTCTTTGATGCAAGTACAGATACAGTGTCGAATCCTTTCGAAGAGTGAGGGATTGATGGGATCCAAAGATGACAACCACCTATCAAGAGTTCAATGTATGTTGATGATAGGCTAAGGGAAAGTTCGAGATCAAATAGGATCAATGGAGCCATGCAATCACTTGTTCAAGTTACGGAGTCCAAGATGGTGACGTTAACAAGCCAAAGACCAATTTTCACATTGGGTATGGGAGCGGGACCAACTTTGTTGGAATGCATTGGAATCAAGGACTCAAACTTGGAGGCAAGATGGACTACTATACGACAACATAGCACAAGCCTGGATATGATTGCATATCCCAATACCGAGAAGCAAATGTGGCATTATAGATGAACTATACAATCGCATGCCGAATTTTCCAATTTTTGGAAAGAATCATAGTTTAGTTAAAACTCTTTTTTATGGCATCTTTTGATATCTTTAGACTTCAATTCCATTATAATTAGGGTTTCATGTGTTACCTATAATAGGACTCATTCTTTTCATGATATATATAAAAAAACCCAATTGAGATATTATTACGAGGTATATTTTGCTTTCAACTCGTTCTTAATTGAATTAATTTTCTAACTTATCAAGGATTGATGTCTTGTGGCATTCAACAATTCAAGTAAGGTTTGTAAGTTTTGTGATCACAGATTCAAGATATTATTTGTGATTGTCTTGGTATTTCGTTTAATAATATATTGGGTCGAGCTTTTCCACACATTGATTCTTGGCTTTATTGGATTTGTCTAATCTGTCGTGGGTTCCGTAGTTTCAATTGATACGTGATTTCACATTAGCTTAAAGTAGGATTTTAATTCTTGACCATAATTAAGCAAAATTTTGATAGTTAAATCCTAATGTAAATCAAATTCTAATCTAGTGGTAGCCGGCAGCCTTTTTTATAAAATCAAAGATAGTAAATGACTATATTAATCAAATAACAGTTTGATTACATATTGATTGAGTTGTTTGTGATATAGTTAGAATTTAAGTATTAATCAATTTAAGAAAATCATTCATGTTTCGACATGTCATACAATTATTGTGGGACTATATGTATTTGATGCCATTTGTACTATTTAATACAATTGAACTAATTAATTAGTTATTATCTACATAATTTAGGATATTAACTAATTGATTATGATACAATCTTAATCCTAATCAGACTGCTCAAAGTTTACCTCTTAATACAAATTCCATGCACATATGTTTGCCACAAAATTCATTCTTTAACTTTTGTTTCATTATTTAAAAATTTAGTACATAGTGAAACTGGGACAAGAATAATTCAGCTCTAGTTTTCCATTCTCATATGAGTCAAAAAAGTTGATTGACAAGAGGTCGACAGGAAGTGATTCATTCATATCTGGGTCGCCTCGTCAGCTATGGGCACCAATCAAGAAAGGTTGCTTATTATATTCTACATTAAGCAGGTTTGGGATGCCAAAGGCAAAGCTAATGACTGGAGTGAAGTCATAACAAGCTTCCAAAATGTAAAGATTTCAGAATGCCCCTTGGGTTTCTAGCTATTATTATGAAGCCAAAAACCATACTAGGACTTGAGACATAATGAATCCTCTTGAAAGAGAGGGGGTTCCTTCATAAATGCGGAAATAGGTGGTGTATGGTTGTCATCCGAATGAGTTTTAATTTTATCCTTCATTATGGCGAATTCAAGAATTGTTATTTAATAGTTTGCAATAAGGTACTCAAAGCTATTAGTGGTTTTCCACATTTTGTTTGATTCTCTTTTATGTATGAATTTAATAACTTTAGTCAGGGCTTCTTCGAGGAAAATCATGATACATTTTAAGGCATAGTGTGCCAATTCTGATTTCATGTTGTTAAGAGAGTTTATGTATAATTTCATATTGATTTGAATGTGGAGTAGCAAGCATCTCATTAAATATAATTCGTTATACTCATCGTTCTTTATTTACAAATTTCAAGTGAAAATTAGCATGGTGGACAATAGTGGATGGATGTGCTATTGGACAAATGGATACTTGTTATGAAGTACACTAATTTTTAGAAACATTAGAAATTTTAAAAGCGTTTGATTTTTTTATGTAGATTTAATTGCGGTAGCATTATTATTCCAATTCGGCCCATTTCAATTGCATGTTGAAAAGTAGTTTTTATAAACATTTTGATACATGATATGATTCCAAAATGCTTCGCATATTTTAGTATACCTTTCATTAAATGTTGTCAAATTTTATTGAATTTCCAGTTATATTGAAATTTAATTTATAAGCACCTTTTGAATTTTGATATTAGAGCACAATTTACTTTCTTCTAATCTTTGCAATTTTGATTAAAAAAATATTCAATTAATCCTTTACAGAAAATTTGTTCACTACAAAAAAAAAAAAAAAAAAAGGGCTCCAATGACCAACCCTTTAGCGACCATAAAAAAGTGGTTGTTGTAATCTACTTTCACCGACCATAAATTGGTTGATGCAGGGCATTGATCTGCTAAAATTGAATTTTTTTTCAGTACTCTTTTTGCGACCACCATGTGGTTGCTGGTTATCATTTTCAGCAACCACCAAATGTTGGTCGTTGAATAATCGGTTGCTGCATATTTAGCGACCAACTAGTGGTCGCTAGTAGAATGTTCCAGCAACCAAATTAGTTTAGTCACTGAAAGACTTGGCCCAGTTACTGCCTTCCACATTTTTTAGATTCTTCAGCGACCAAACAATGCGGTTGCTGATTAGTACAATGTTACAACAACCACAGCATGGTCGCTGGTTGTATAACTTCCAGCAACCAAATTTATTTGGTTACTGGAACACTTGGCGCCATCACTCCCGCTTATTTTTTTTCAACGTTTTGACTTCTATAGCAACCAAATTCGTTGGTCCCTGATTAGTCCAAGGTTTCAGTGACCAAACATTGGTTGCTAGTGTATGCCTTTCAGCAAACAAATTTTGTTGGTCGCTGGAACACTTGGCGCCATCACTCCCGCTCGTTCTTTTCAACATTTTGACTTCTACGGCGACCAAATTGTTTGGTTGCTGATTAGTACAAGGTTTCAGCAACCATACATTGGTCGCTAGTGTATGCCTTTCAACAACCAAATGTACTTGGTTGCTGGAATACTTAGTGCCATCACTCCCTCTTATTCTTTTCAATTTTTTTTATAGCGACTAGAATGTTTGGTTGCTGATTAGTACAAGTTTCTAGCGACCATATATTGGTCCCTGGTCTATGTCTTTCACCTCCCAAATTTTTTGGTTGCTAGAATACTTGATGCCATTATTTCCACTTATTTTTTCAACTTTTTCGACTTCTATAGTGACCAACTTTCGTGGTTGCTGATCAGTATTTGATTTTGGCGACCATAATCGACAATACTATACTCTATACTATGCTTGCTAGAACATTTTTTTTTTAATTTATTTAAAAGAGTGTGTTACCTGTGAAATTTTATTAATTTGCCCTTGTGCCGAAGGATACCGAGGTTACATATGAAAATAATGAAAGCAGTAAATCAAGAATACTACTTCACTTACATTAACTAGAGAGGAATGACCACGAAATCATTTTCATCCAATTTTGTTAATAAAACTTGTTAAAATGAAGAATATACCCTCTTATTTAATTAAAATAAAAAGAAAAGGAAAGGAAAACAAAGAACTAATTTCAACCATAATCCCATTTTTTTTCTAAGTGCAAACATGTCCCAAGTAAATTATTATAAATTTAGAAATAAAAAAAGAAATCTATCTTAACCTGCCATCCTCCTCTTCCGTTTAGCTTCAATATATGCCAATTCAACCAAATCGAACTCAAACGACATATTACTAAATTTGTGTGGTCATTCAAGAAGCCGCCACGTGAACTAGATCAAAATTGAATGAAAATAATGATTTCCGCAATAAAAGGTGAAAAATAGAGGTGAAAATGTGAATTTTTTTTTGAAAGGAATGGATATTTTGCATAATGAACATCAAATGCATGGATGTTTTGTGCTAATAACCTATAATTTATAGATGATAGCCAAATAATGACGGATTTTATTTTTTTCAAGCTCGTATGAAAAATTTATGATTTTATTTTTCATATTATGAGACAAATAAACTAATCGATTTGTGTTAATAGCAACGTGAACGGACTACAATAATTGAAAACCAAAATGATCTATCCCCAAGTTTCACTATTGGTCATTTTCAACAAGAACACGGCATTTCAATTACAAAGAAAAAAGATAAATAGTAATACAACATGGAATGACAACGATGATGGCTAGAGACTAGAGTAGATGCTATTTTGAGGGCTATGGTTCCTCTTCATTTTCCTTCAATAGAGAGGATGATAATTCAATTTCAAAATTTGATGTTGTAATTATGTTTATTTATTTCAGTTAAATGTTAAAGTTCAAAACTTTAAATGATGAAATAAAGAAAAATAATCTACAAATTCGGCCCAATACTTATACCCAACCCAATATAACTCCCAATTAAAAAGTCTCCACTTATTCTCAAATCTCTCCTACCCTAACCCTCCAAGCTTCTATTTGTGTGTTCCAGCCGCGTCTGCTTCTACTCTACACATCTTCTACAGTATTTCTGGTGTCCGGCTAAAATTGAAGTATGACGTCGTGTTGGAGCTCGTGGGTTTTAAAAGAAGAGTGAAACATTCACTACTGGAGATGTTTTTAAGAATTGTATCCTTAAAATGGAGGAAAGGGAGAGAGTCAAGAGACGTGTTTTTTCTTTGGACTCTGAGACTTCAATTGGTAATCATCTTCATTATTCACCAAAAGAATTATCTCTATTCCCTATACGACGATTCATATTTCCCATTAATCTCTTGTTGAAAATCTGAAGTACTCGTTCATTTTTTTCGTCAATCTTCGAATTCAATTCGCCAAGTTTTAAAAGTGGCCAAGCAGGCTATTGACCTGAACGTGTGGATTGAGGAAGCACGGGTAAAATTTTCGTCGAAGAAGTTAAAGGCAGAGACATATTCCTGTTGTCTGTTGAGATAGTTTTGGCTTCATCTCTTTCCTGTATGGCAGTTTTTAGAAGTTGAATAATTGATTTAATTGCTTCATGATTCACATATTCCTTATTGGATCCTTTAAATTATTTTAAAGTACTGGATCTTGTAAATGGTCAGATTTGTTTATTCTGTTTATTTATCTGATTTCTTCTTATTAATTAATTGCTTTATATGGAGATTGCTATTCCATAGGCACTATGCAAAAAAGTACAGAATAATGTAGTGATCAATGATCATATATAATATTCTTTGCGCCTAAATACTGATTTATCATTTATAGGATGCAATAATTTTATTATAATGTACATTTTAAATCTCAGAGTTGGTGGAAGATCTCAAGTTTTTATACTCATTGGGTTTGGTTTATTCTAAAGGACTTGATCAATTGTTTTCTTTTCGATATCAATTGAATCTCAATTCTCTAGTAACTAATATCTATCTGAAGCGATAATTTTACCCCAATCCTTTATCTTTTATCAAAAACTGCAATCATATAGTTAGTATCTTTCACTAAAATGAATTCCAATGGATAGTTATCCCTTGGGAAGCTTAATTTTCTTAATTTATTTATAGTAAAATAAAGTTACGTTGACATGTATGCATAAAAATATTTATCTTGTCGTTATAAGGCTGTTTGTTCGTATGAATGTAACCATTTGTAAATATCCTCCATAGGACGAAGTTGGTTTTGCAAAATTAGTTAATCAATTGATTAAAAAGTCAATTGTTTTTCCTTTCTGATATGGTCTATTGACTATGGCAGGCCTTGAAGGAACTATACGAGATTGTTCCAACTCGCATATTGAAATGAGAAAACAGAATCAACAAAATAGTTTTATAGGTATGTATTCGTAATGGCTTATGTGATTTCCAATTTTTAAATGAATGCCAAACTTTAGATAGGTATTTCTTGTGTGCAGGTGGATTGTTAAATGAAGAGCTATCAACCTAGTCATACGATAAAGAAGGAAAGAGTAAACTATTATATTAAGGAAAGAGTAAACTATTATATTGGTTGTAATCTTATTTTTTCCCCTCTTTCCTGAGTTTAAGCAATCATGGATAAAAAAGGGAAAGATTAAGCTATTATATTGGTTGTTCTTATTTACTTTTATCCAAAATCAGTAAAATTTTGCTTATAAAATTGTGCAATTAGTTTATTTCGATTTACATTCGATCAGATCTTTGTTTTATTTTTTTCAATTTTCTTGGTTGTGAAAGTGGTTGTTATCATATGTTGATCTCTTACTGCTTGCCTGTGGATTTTGTTTATTTATAGCATAACATCATGAAAAGGAAGATGCTTTTTGATGGGAAGCTAGGCATTGCTGGTGGTTGAGGGACTCAAAAGGACTTTGATTTGTTTGTGATTGAAGCTGGCAGTGGTGAAGTTCCTTCCTCACAATTTCCTAGTCTAGAACTCATTTTTCGTTTAGTCTATACACCGTTTGTAATAAAAGTCTAGGATACATTTGTAACTAAGATATTAAGGTGCATGACACATTTTGTGGTTAAATATAGGATATTTAAATTTATGTAATGACTATTGATAATTATTTTATGTGCAATGACAATTACCTTTTATACTCGGTATTGTATATTGTGAATTTCTTTATTTTTGTTATTTTCTCTTGTGCATTCTTTTTTATATTTATTAATTGAAAAATTATTAATGGGTTATAACAACTAAATACTGGTTGCTAATGTTGCATCTTTACCGACTGAAAATTGGTAGCTGAGATATTGATAATTTTTTTACTATCGTTTTATCTACCAACATTTGGTCGCAAGAGAATACAAATTAATCAACATTTTACCTCAAATCGAGCCCTTTATCGACCATTGCGTAGTTGTTGAAATGTGGTTTTTCATTTTTACCATTTAATTTCTCGACCATCATTTGGTTGCAAAAGGATGAAAGTTAACCAACTTGTTACACAAAACCAAGCCTTTTTACCGACCATTTGGTGGTTGCTGAAGGTATATCATTTAGCGACCACTTTTGTTGGTCGCTAAAGATTTACATAGACAGATTTTTGGTCGCTAAAAATCTTTAAGGACCCAAAAAGTACCTTTACCGACCAATTTTGTTGGCGCTGCAGGCCATTTTTTTCGTAGTGGTTGTTAGAGTTTTCTTGATATGAGTATTCGTAAAACTAAAAGGTTTGTCAAAAAGACCTAAATTGTCTAAGGAAAGTTTGGGATTGTATATATATATATATATATATATATATATATATGAGATCTATTTTTTTTATAAAAAAAATGCATTCTTAAATAGTGTTTAGACCATATTTCAATCACACATCCTTCAATAAAATAATATGGTAATAAGACATTTTCCATCACTATACTATTCAAAAATGCATTTCTTTGACAAAAATGGGGCTCAAACAAGGGCTTAAATACATAAAACGTTAGACTTAGCATAACATATATGGCAAACTTGGCTAAACATAGAGAGACCTCTAGGAAGACTATAGCATGGTAGAATAGTTCTTAAGATTGGGATGTGTACTTGAAATATGGTCTAAACACTATTTAAGAATGCATTTTTTAAAAAAAAAAATAGTTCTCAAAAATAATATTGTAATAAGACATTTTTCATCAATACACTATTCAAAAATGCATTTCTTTGACAAAAATGGGGCTCAAACAAGGGCTTAAATACATAAAACATTAGACTTAGCATAACATATACGACAAACTTGGCTAAACATAGAGAGACCTCTAGGAAGACTATAGCATGGTAGAATAGTTCTTAAGATGAATTATTTTTTATTTAAAGAAAATGGAATGAAGATAACAAGATTTGGTTGCTATGTTCAGAGATTTACTGAGGGTAGTATAAGACTTGAGTAGGCAGTAGGCTCACGCAGTACCTCATAATGCAATAGGAAGTTTCAAACCATGAGCTCTATTGTTGAGCAATTCCATCATTCAAAACCACTGTCCTTTGATAGTAAAGGTGATCCTTTCATAGTCAAGGAATAACTAAGGAGACTTGCAGGGATCTTTGAGCGCATGAACTACAATGATGGTCAAAAGGTTTCTTGTGTGAAGTTTATGTTGATTGATGATGTTGGACATTGGTGGGAGTTTGAAACATGTACTAGGACTATAGAACAACAACATAACCTCACTTGGAACCAGAAGGAAGCACTGAAGGGTAAATATTTTACCTGATCATTGAAGAATCAAAATGAGGTGAAATTTCTTTAGATTACATAGGGGACTATGCCGCTTAAAATTTATGAAAGAAAATTTGAATGGCTTTCTAGATATGTAGTAAATATGGTTAATACTAAGCCAACAAAGACTAAGAGGTTAAAAATGGGATTAAGACTAGAGATTAAGGGAATCATGGTGTGTCGAGTGCAAGCAATCTCTAATGGTTTAAGGTTAGAAAAGATACCCAGCCCAGTGCCAAGTCTTTAGTAAAAAGGAAGTGCTAGGGTCACGATAAGGAAAAGGCGAGACCAAAATAAGAAAGGAAAGGTCTGGTCTAGCTCGAATGGAAGTTTTCCTCAGTTTCCCATGTACAACAAGCAACGATTCGATTATTGTTTTCAGGGAAAAGGGGATAAGATACGTTTATGGCAAGACTGGTTATTTCTTTAGAGAATGTTCAAAGAAGGAAAACGATGATCAGCTTAAGAGAGGAAATACTAGATTGTTTGCATTGATGGAAGAAGCTAGGGATCAGTATACCAACATAATAACAGGTATGTTATCGACATCTAATGTACTCGTTATTGTCCTTATGGATTCTGGATCTATGCATTCATTTATTTCTATAGTTTTTGTGGATAATATTGGGACTAAAGGTGGAAAAACAAATATCATCTTAGATGTTTGTACAAATTTAGGCAAAGTCATTAATATTAATCAAATGGTTAAAGACGTTAAGTTATCTATTAAAAGAAACGTACCAAAGGCAGACTTGTGCCTCTTGAAAGTGAAAGACTTTGATGCAATTTTGGGTATAGATCATAATACCTCGAATTTCACGTTACACGTTTGGCAAATATAATTCATGCATTTAATGCTATTTACAATGTCATTTGCATCAATTTTTCCTAATTGCTTTCTCTTAAAACGGTGCATTCGATTATTGAGGTTTTAAGATTTTAGTCTTCGACTCCTCGACCTAGGTGGTGAATTTAACATTGAGCTATGATAGAAAATTAGGTTAATCTAGATGTTGGAAATTGATTTGGCAAGCAATGGGAGTATCGAGAAGGCCGGAATTAGTATCGACAAAGGTTCAAGCTTTCCATTTGGTTGATCAAGGCAACCTTAAACCCTAGATAGGTGATCGGTACATTTAGAACATGAGATATGAAGTGACATGATCAAAATGTAATAAGATAAGTTTTATGTTATGTTATTAATATTGATGTGTAAATCGTTGAAATCGATCGAGAATCGGGTGTCAATCGGGCAAGTAATTAAATGAACGGTTAAGGAATTAGCTCTATAATATATTTTGGGATATTAGGGCAAGTAAGATGGATTTTAAAGACATCAAAATAAATTGAAATACTTGATTTGTCCCCCAAGCATTCGTACCGAATCAAATTTTAACCACAAGAGACCACCTCATGCATAGTACACCTAATGCTTATTGATTTGTCCTTGTAATGGTCAATTCCTTCACCCCTAAGCATTATCCACGTCTACCACACCTTTAAGACTTCCTATATATGGTATATTATCCCTAAGTTTCATGCAAATCATCCAAAGATAGGTACAAAATAAGAATGTAACTAAAAGGAGACACCTAGGGTTAGTAACAGTTCGATTCGGGGTCTGTTCGGTCAAAACCATCACAGTACCACCAATTTTTTGGCCATATCATAATAGCGCCATACCACATAAATCGGTTCTATTTGGTCCGACTCGTATCTCGGTTCGAGTAATTAATAACCACTAAAATAAATTATTTTTTATAGGTCCAACCGTTAAATTAAAAAAAACAATTTATGAAAAAAAAGTTAATGAAAATAAAAACATAACAACTAAACCAATGTAGCAAACAACATCCCAAATGAAAATGCAAACAATATCCCAATTCTCAAATGCAAAATTCGAATTTAACAAACAATAGTATCAACATAACAATACTAAACAATATCTTTGTCCCTTGATCCTTGTGCATCGAATTTGATTCCTACTCAAAAACTCTAATCTCAATTCATATTGAATCATCCCGACAACTCTTATTAGCATATGTCAAAACTCAAAGCTGGTTCCTATGTCGTAAATAAAAAATGTAAGTAGTGTAATGATACAATCATATTGCCTAATCCAGAATGGTCTTAACTGAAGATTTAAACAAAAAAATGTACCTCTTCATCAATATCCTCGTCACCAAACCTTGTACAAACTCCAGATTATGATACATGAGTAGAATTTCTACACACAAAAGAGAAAAAAAAAATTAACAATAAAAAAGTGCATGAATAATACCCTTCTATTTGGGGATGGAGATGGTGAGCAAAAAAGAATATGGTGTGGAGAACAAAAAATTTTGGGGATGCACTATAGAGACTCGAGTGCAGACAGCTATCGTCTAATGTCTTGTTGAATTTGATTCCAATCTTGTTTGTGGTAGGTTTAGTACTTAGTGAGTAAGTGGTAACTGGGCTAGGTTACCTAATTGGCCATAAATTTTGATCTAGACATATTCTAATAGAAAGAATAATGAAAAGCCCAAGTGTCCAAATTCTTTTAACGGGTAATCGGTTCGGGGTGGGGCGACGGTGCAAATACCATACCTGCCCCACCTCGCCCTGAACCGGGTCATTCAAATCAAATACCATACCACCCATTTGCACCATTGATTTGGTTTTTTTGCCCCCATTCGATTCGGTTTTTTTGCCCCATTCAATTCGGTTAACCACAATTTTTGATTTTAATGGTTTGAATTATTGGAGATATATTGAGTGAAACGAGTAAAGATAGAAATTGCTTAATTGCTGGATTCTACCTATCAATATGAATTTTGTATATGCAAGAAAGAAGTATAGAAATGATTTTTAATGGCCTAGAATCTTATTGGTGGCATACTAATACAATGGAAACCAAAGCGAAACTGCCTGATTTAGTGTTGTGAAAAAAGGAGCTTTATTGAAGCTACAAACCCTTCATTTGTCACAACTTTATGACATGATTATCTTTACATACTTGTTATAGAAGTGTGGTAAAAATTTAAGAGTCGTTGGATATAGTTAAAGGCGTGAAAAAGGATTGGAAAAATAATTGGATGGTGATGGAAACCTGGAAACAAATTCTATCCATTTGCATGTTTAATGTAGTTTCAACATTTATATGTCCATTAATTATCTCTTGGGCCTAAGGGCAAGGTTGTTGACAATGATTGGATGATGTTAACATTCATAATTGGACATGAGAAATAATGAGATTTATAGGACTAGATTATAATGCCGTCGGTAACTTGGAAATGATAATTTCGTCTAAATTATTTTGAAGTAAATGGACGTATTTTGGGATAGTGTGTGTTAAGGTTATTAAATTAGGATTGTGCTTAATATTAAATGTATTACATGTGGTTTTTCGACTTTAGGTGAAAAAGGGAAATTGGTCTACACTTTGTAGAAAGATCACACACAAGGGCAAGAATGTAAGTAAAAATCCATTTGCAACTATGATGCAAGAACGCAGTATTTGTGAAATAATAGTGTTGGGACATTTATATAGCTTCGATAACTAGCTCATTGTATATCATATAATGGTTATGATTATTGAGTCTGTGGTTTAGGAACATATTGACATTGATGTTGATTAAAAATGTCATTCACGAGCATTTTAATGAGCATGCACAACATATGTCCATGGTGAAAATCTAGCATGCACAACATGATTTTAAAATTGAGTTTTACCTCATAAATTTTAGTTTGACCACTACTAGGGCATCGAGGCATGTGAGGCATGCTTGTGTAATGCATTTTGGCATTGTAGGTGATACTTCCTGGGTGATTGCAAAGGTAGATAGGGGATGGGCATTTTGTGATCACGAGAGGGTAGACCATTCAATTGTGCCCTTGTGATGTTATGATTATTGGTGTTGCCGAGTGGGATACTTTTTAGGTGATCATAGGGGCAGTTATGAGATGGGCCGCTAGTAGTCACAAGATGGTGGTCTACTCGCTAATGTTGATTTCATATTGGTCATTTGATGATTGACTATTGATATTGACATTGATATTGTGCAAAGCTTTATCCAGTGCATAGTACGTGGGTTAAGGGCCCAATAAAAGATTTCAAATGAAGTTATTTTTAGTTGACTTTGACAAATACTTGAATATGATGCATCTTTAGTATAATGTTTAAAGTAAATGGCATGGTGTCATATATTATTTACTCATATTCACAACATGCATGATTCTTGCTTACTGAACATTAATTTATACAGTTCTTGCATTGTAGGTAGGCATGGGACTTCGTAGAAGTGAAGGCTAGCTATAGAGCTCTTACTAGATTCCAGAGTCGATGTACATGGATGACGGCCTATACGATTATGTCGTGGGCTATTGTTTTGGTCTTATAATCTATTGTATTATATTTGGAGAATCCTATACTGTACATATGACTTTTTAAATGTAGATACTTTTCGAATCCTTAAAATAAATATGTTGGAATTTGATTATACAGTATTTAGTCATAACTGACCATAGGTGACTAGGCGAGAATATATCAGGACCCTTTTGTAAAGATGCTTATTTCATTTTATCTTAGAAAAATGTGTGAAATCCTGTGTCTAGGTTAAGTCATAAATATCATTTCTACATAGGGTAATGTATGGTTAAATATATATTTGGGGTGTGACAGAGAGTGGTATCAGAGCAAGGTTACAAATTCTGTAGACTATCCATTTACATAATCTTGGAGTACGAAAGAGCGTAGCTAAGCCTGTAAGTTTTAGTTTTTGGGTTATTTTTTGCATACTTCATGAATGATATTGGCCAATCTTTATTTGTGGCCATGTGAGAACCAGAGACGTCATTTGTTGTAAGCTAGAACTATAGGAAAAGAGGCGTTTGTTCATGATGATAGTTGGGTGTTGTTATTGATAGACTTATAGAATTAGTTGAACGCCAAACTCAATAAATTCAGCAATTAATTCAACAAAGAGAAAGGGAAGAACAACAAAGGGCTGAATTCTTACGAACACAACAAAGGACTGAACATATTAAGACAGAAAATTAAACCCTCCAATATTTGAGGATGCATCAGATCCAATGATAGTAGATGATTGGTTGAGAAGTTTGGAGAATATGTTCAGGTACATGAGAATTTCAGAGGTAGAGAAAGTGGTCTAGGCATCCTTTATGCTACGAGGTAGTGCTGGACACTGATAGGACATGATAAGCAGCATAGAAGATATCAATTCTATGACTTAGCATAGATTTAAGGATCTATTTCATAATAAATATTTTACAGTCCTAGTTTGAGCTGTGCAGATGAATGAATTCATACCGTTGAGATAAGAAGGAATAACAATAGGAAAGTATATTCGTAAATTTGAACAACTATATAGATTTGCAATCCCTATGGTTAATATTAATGCATTGAAAGTAGAAAGATTTCTTGAAAGACTGAAGCTAGAATATATAGAGATGTAAGCATGGTAGGAATTCAATGTGTTTCATATTCCCAGATTGTGGAGATAGCATTAGTCGTAAAACAGGCTAAATGTAGAATTAGTCATGCTCAAAGGCTTAACGACAGATAGAATTAAGGATGGCGTTGGCCTAGAAATGAAAAGAAAAGAGCATTCCAGGGTAAGAGTCAGAAATCTAAGTTTCAATCAAGGCAAGTACAATAACTATGGGATTAGGGTAAGCGTCTGAAAGTAGAACAAGGTAAAGCTACTCACAATCATTTTGCCCAAATGTAGTGAACAGCTTACTGAAGCATGTCCTACAGAGACTAGGACATGTTATGTTTATGGGAAGGTGGGACATCTTGTTAAAGCATGCCCAGGTAATCCAAATCCTATAGAGTAGAAGAAGTTACGAGCTAGAGTGTTTACCATTACTAGAACAGATCTAAAGAAATCCATCAGTTGTAATAAGAAATTTTTCTATCTTTGGCATTCTAGCACATGTACTATTTAATTTTGGAGCTACGCATTCATTTGTGTCTACAGAGTATGTGAGGAGATTAGATAGGATACCTAATGTATAAGAAGACAATTATAGTGTGACTATTCTATATAGAGATATATAACAAACTAATCAAATTTTAAGAACATGTGTGATCCTTATAGAAAATTGAGAACTCTGTGCAAATTTAATTGTGTTGGATATGAGAAATTACGATATAATTTTGGGTATGGATTGGTTGTCAAAATATCAAGGTACTATAGATTGTAAGAGGAAGTCAGTAACCTTTCAACCTTTGAGAAATGAACCATTCACATTCAGTGGGACTGGGAGAGATTTCAGATTTCCAGTTATATCAGTATTGAAAGTACAAAGGTTACTAGATAGTGGGTATGTAAGGTATTTGGTTAGTGCTGTGGCTAGTGAAGCATAATACAATCCAAATCTTAGTGATATACCCGTGGCACGAGAATTTCCAGAGGTATTTCGTGATGATCTGCCTAGGGTACCACCAGATCGTGAGATAGAGTCTATGATTGATTTAATTCCAAGAACACATCCAATTTCCAAAGCCCTATATAGAATGCCCTAGTTGAAGTGAAAGAGTTAAAGTTATAGTTCCAAGATTTGTTGGATAAAGGTTTTATTAGACCTAGCTTTTCACTGTGGGGTGCACCTGTATTATTTGTTCTGAAGAAGGATGGTACCATGAGATTGTGTATAGATTATCGAGAATTTAATAAGGTAACAATTAAGAATAAATATCCACCACCAATGATTGATGACTTATTTGATCAACTTCAAGGTGCAACTATATTCTCGAAAATTGATTTACAATCTAGATACCATCAACTAAAGATAAAGGAAGATGACATTTCTAAAATAGTATTTAGTATGAGGTATGGGCATCATGAGTTTTTAGTGATGCCATTTGGGTTGAAAAATGCCCCAATAGCTTCTATGAATTTGATAATCAGGTATTAAGGATTTTCTCATTAAATTTGTCATCATATTTATTAATGATATCCTTATTTATTCTCGTACTAGAAAAGAACATATTGAAAATTGGATGATAGTGCTTTGGATCTTAAAGGACAAGTAATTGTATGACAAGTTTAAGAAATGTGAATTTTGGTTAGACAGAGTCATATTTTTGGGATATGTAATATCAAGTGAGGGCATATCAGTGTATCCAAGTAAGTAGAGGCTATTAATAATTGGCCACGACCTACAAACCCTTCAGGAGTTCGAAGTTTTATGGACTTAGCTGGATATTATCGTAGATTTGGGGAAGGATTTTCAAAGATAACCTCTTCTTTAATGAAACTAACTAGGAAGAGTATAAAATTTGAATAGACAGATGCTTGTGAGCCAAGTTTTCAAGAATTGAAGCAAAGATTGACTTTGGCCCCTATCCTTTCAATTCCATCTGGTAATGGAAATTTTGTGGTTTATGGTAATGCTTCTAAGGATGGTTTAGGATGTATATTGATGCAAAATAGTAAAGTTATTGCATATGCATCTGGACAACTAAAAGAGTATGAAAAGAATTATCCTACACATGACTTGGAACTTGTTCCAGTTGTGTTTGCCTTTAAAATATGGAGACATTATTTGTATGGAGAACGGTGCGTAATTTATACTAATCATAAAAGGTTGAAATATTTATTTACACAAAAGGAACTGAATATCAGACAACGATGGTGGCTAGAGATGGTAAAAGATTATGATTGTATGATCAATTATCAACTTGGTAGGGCCAATGTTGTAGCATATGCATTGAGTATAAAATCAGTATCTAGTATTATAGCTATGATTGTGACTCAAAGATCAGAATTTGTAGACTTTTAGAAAATGGATATTGAAATCATATCATAAGGATCTGTAGAGCCTGAACTTGCAACATTGACACTTCAGCCAACTTTATTAAATAAAATCTAGTAAGGACAACAGGGAGATGATTATTGATCCAAGGTAAAGAATGATATACATGATGGAAAAGTGTTAGACTTTCAAATATCAAAAAATGGTATAGTACGGTTTAGGGAACGATTGTATGTACCTGATGCAGAAAATATCCGAAGTGATATTCTAGCTGAAGCATACACTACACCATATTCTATTCATTTGGGAGCTACTAAAATGTATAGAGATTTGAAGTTACATTATTGGTGGCCAAACATGACAGGTAATATAGCTGAATATGTGGGATAATGTTTAACATGTCAAGGGATAAAGGCTAGTAGAAACCTTATAACCATTACCTATCCCCAAGTGAAAATGGGAAAGAATCATGATGAATTTTGTGGTGAAATTAAATTGAAATTAGCTTATTTCATCCCAGTTTGTTAAACTTATTCCACAGAACGATCTGCAAGCTTTATGTACAAGAAATAGTTAGAATTCATGGTGTGCCATTATCCATTGTTTTTTACAAAGATTCTAAGTTTTTATCTCTCTTTTGGAAAAGCTTACATAAGGCATTAGGAATGCAATTATCTTTTAGCACAACATATCATCCTTAGACTGATAGACAATTAGAAAGAACAATACAAATCCTGAAAGATATGTTGATGGCTTGTGTATTGGATTTTCAGGGCCAGTTAAGTAAATTTTTGCCGTTGGTAGAATTTGCACATAACAACAGTTATCAAGCTACTATTGGAATGGCTCCTTGTGAAGCATTATATGATAGAAAACGTTGGTCTCCGGTTTATTGGGATAAGGTTGGAGAAAGGAAACTATTAGGTCCAGATATGGTGCGTGAAATGGCTGAAGTTGTGACACAAATACGTCAACGGATGGAAACTGCTCAAAATAGACAGAAAAGCTATGCAAATTAAAGAAGGAGATTGTTAGAATTTATGATAGGAGATCAAGTAGTTTTGAAAATAGCACCAATGAATGCGATTTGGGAAGAAATGAAAGTTAAGCCAAAGATATATTGGTCCGTTTTTTATTATCGAGAGAATTAAAAATGTTGCCTGCAAACTTGACCTTCCTTCATCAATGTATCAAGTGCAAAATGTGTTTCATGTGTCCATACTAAGAAAATATATTGGAAATCCTTCTCATGTATTGAAGAACAAACTGATGGAGATAAAATCAGATTTAGCTTATGAAGAAAAACCAATAGAGATTCTTCAACGAGAGGTAAAGCAACTTAAAAATAAGAAAATTCCATTGGTCAAAGTATTGTAGTGGAATCAAACAATAGAAGAGGACACTTGGGAATGAGAAGATAAAATGCGGGCCAAATATCCTGAACTTTTTCAGTAAGCAAATTTTGAGGACAAAAATTTTTATAAGGAAGGGAGGATGTAATACATTGAACTTCACGTCACTCATTTGGCCAATATAATTCATGCATTTCATGTTATTTACAATGTCATTTGCATCAATTTTTCCTAATTGCTTTCTCTTAAAATAGTACATTCGACTATTGAGGTTTTAAGATTTTATTCTTCGACTCCTCAACCTGGGTGGCGAATTTTACATTGAGCTATAATAGAAAATTAGGTTAATCTAGATGTTGGATATTGACTTGGTAAGCAATGGGAGTATTGAAAAGGCAGAAATTAGTATCGACAAATGTTCAAGTTTTTCGTTTGGTTGATCAAGGTAACCTTAAACCCTAGATAGTTGATTGACACATTTAAAGCATAAGACATGAAGTGACATGATCAAAATGTAATAAGATAAGGTTTATATTATGTTATAAATTTTGATGTGCAAATAGTTGAAATTAGTCGAGAATCGAGTATCAATCGGGTAAGTAATTAAATGAATAGTTAAGAAATTAGCTCTATAATATATTTTGGGATATTAGAGCAAGTAAGATGGATTTTTAAGGCATCAAAATATACTGAGTATACTTGATTTGTACCACGAGGATTGGTACAAAATCAGATTTTGACCACAAGAGACCACCTCATGCTTAGTACACCTCATGCCTATTGATTTGTCCTTGCAATGGCCAATTCCTTCACCCCTAAGCATTATCCACGTATACCACTCCTTTAAGACTTCCTATATGTGGTATATTATCCCTAAGGTTCATGCAAATCATCCAAAGATAGGTACAAAATCAGAATGTAACTAAAAGGAGACACCTCCTACTCATATGTTGACTTGTCACTCTAACATCTAAATACTTCAACCTTAAGTCCTCCAGCGCATCTTCTAAACCCTTGTCACTTTACATAGGACAGATATAGATCTTCTAAGTCAATATGGCTCCATATAAGGCAAGGAAAAAGTCAAATTTAATTGCATGAAGCCACACCCTACTTGGACACCTCATGTTTGAATCCACTTGTCCACTAATCACATTTTCTTAATCCTTAAGGAAGAGTCACACCCCCAACCCCATTAAGACTCTATATACACATCCTACCCACATGTTTAGCCTTCCAATTTATCCCCAATTGACCACCAGTTGAAAGAAAAAGCAAAAGGAACAGAGAGAAGCAGGAACAAGGAGCTGAAAACTGAATTTCTGGATAGGTAAGTTTAGCTCACGGTTTTGAAGATTGTTTTCATTGTCTTTGAGGATATTATTATCTCTCAAGCCTATGAAATTACAAGATATTATGTTGGGGTTGATGTTTGAGATGTTATTATGGCAAAAAGAGTGAAAATTGTTAGAGATATGCTGAGTAAAACAAGGATAGAAGTTGCATAGTTGCTGGATTCTACATATTCAACCCTTGATTTTGGATGATAGTTAGAGTATAACTTATATCTATCAATATGAATGTTTTTATATGCATTCAAAAAGTATAGGAACGATTTTTAATGGCCTAGAATCTTATTGGTGGCATACTAATACAATGGAAACCAAAAACTGTCACAGAGAAACTGCCTGATCTGGTGTTGTGAAAAAAGAAACTGTTTGAAGCTACAAACCCTTCATTTGTCACAACTTTATGACATGATTACCTTCACATACATGTTTTAGAAGTGTGGTAAAAATTTGGAAGTCATTGGATATAGTTAAGGGCGTGAAAATGGATTGGAAAAATAATTGGACGGTGATGGAAACCTGGAAACAGATTCTGTCCATTTGCATGTTTAATGTAGTTTCAACCTTTACATGTCCAATAATTATCTCTTGGGCCTAGAAAATAGATTCTAAAGAATGCTATGTTGTTGACAACAATTGGATGACGTTGACATTCATAATTGGACTCGAGAAATAACGAGATTTATGGGACTACTTTATAATGCCGTCGGTAACTTGGAAATGATGACGTCATCTAAATTATTTTGGAGTGAATGGACGTATTTTGGGATTGTGTGTGTTAAGGTTATTAAATTGAGGATTGTGTTAATATTAAATGTAATACAGGTGGTTTTTTGACTTTAGGTGAAAAAGGGAAATTGGTCTACACTCCGTAGAAAGATCACACACAAGGGCAAGAAGGTAAGTAAAAATCCATTTGCAACCACGATGGAAGAACACATTATTAGTGAAATAATAATGTTGGGACATTTACATAGCTTCGATAACAAGCTCATTGTATATCATATGATGGTTATGATTATTGAATATGTGGTTTTGGAACATATTCACATCGATGTTGAATAAACATGTCATTCACGAGTATTTTCATGAGCATGCACTACATATGTCCATGGTTGAAAATCTAGCATGCAGAACATGATTTTAAAATTGAGTTTTACCTCATAAATGTTTTGTTGACTACTACTAAGGCACCGAGGCATGTGAGGCATGCATGTGTAATACATTTTTGGCTCGCGGGTGATAATTCCTGGGTGATTACAAAGGTAGAAGGGGATGAACCTTTGGTGATCACGGGAGGGTTGACCACTCGACTGTGTCTTTGTGATGTTACAATTATTAGGCTATCGGGTGGGATTCTTCTTGGGTGATCATATGGGCAGTTATGATATAGGCCTCTAGTGGTCACAAGAGGGTGGTCCACTTGTTAGTGTCGATTTTATATTGGTCATTTGATTATTGATTATAAATATTGACATTGATATTGAGTATGGCTCTTTCCGGTGCATAGTAGGTGGATCAAGGGCCCAATGAAAGATTTCAAATAAAGTTATTTTGAGTTAACTTTGACGAATATTTGAATATGATGCATCTTTAGCATAATGTTTAAAGTAAATGACTTGGTGTCATATATTATTGTTACTCATACTCATTACATGCATGATTCTTTCTTACTGAGCATTAGCTTATATAGTTCTTATGTTATAGGTGAGCATGGGACTTCATAGAAATCAAAGCTAGCTGTGGAGCTCTTACAAGAATCTAGAGTTGATATACATGGATGATGACCTACAGGGTTATCTTGTGGGCTATTGTTTTGGTCTTATAATTTGTTGTATTATATTTGGAAAACCTGTACTGTATATATGAGGTTTGAAATGGTATGGTAGATGCTTTTGGAACCCTTAAAACAAATATGTTGGAATTTGATTATATAGTATTTGGTCATAACATAGCATATGTGGATCATAGTAACCAAGCGAGAATATACAGAGACCTTATTGTGAAGATGCTTATTTCATTTTATCTTTAAAAAAAATGTGTGAAATCCTGTGTCTAGGTTAAGTCATTAATATCATTTCTACACAGGATAATGTATGGTTATCTATATATTTGGATTGTGACATAGACTGGTTGAGTAGAAATTATGCATCTTATGCATGAGAAGAAAGTTTTATTTGAAAACCCGGATATGAAGATTTTCAATTCTTTGGAACAAGAATTGGGACTCTACATCGATTAGTGTCTGTATTGAAAACCAAAATGATATTAGGAAAGAATACATGTCAAGTATTTTTATTGAACATTATCGATAAACCCCAATCCAAATGGAAAGTGCAAGATGTATCGATAGTTAAGGAATTTGCGGATTTTTTCTTAAAGATCTAACAGGTATACCACTATATAGACAAGTATACGTCACAATTGACTTGGCACCCGGAGCAGACCAATAACTAAAGCCTCTTAAAGGATGGCACTAAAAGAATTGAAGGAGTTGGGGATACAACTATGGGAATTATTGGATAAGGGTTTTATCTGACCTAGTGTATCCCCATGAAGAGCACCAGTGTTGTTTGTTAAAAAGAAAGACAGGTCAATGAGGATGTTCATTGATTATAAGGATATTAACCTTTTGACCATAAAGAATAAATACCCGCTTCAAAGGATAGATGATCTTTTTGATTAATCAAAAGGTGCAAAATTATTCTCAAATGAAATCAGGTTATCACCAACTTAAGATAAGGGATTGTGATATCCTTAAAACAACTTTCTAGAAAACAGCATAGGCACTCTGAGTTCACAATGATGTCATTTGGGTCGACCAATACACTACCAATATGTATGGATATAATGAATAGAGTTTTTCATCATTTAGATCGATTTACTATAGTCTTCATTGATGATATACTAATACACACAAAAGATAAGCGTCAAGATGAAGAACAACTAAGAATGGTATTAGGGACCCTTCAAAAATAGAAATTGTACTCAAAATTCAAAAAATGTAAGTTTTAGCAAGATCGCGTTGACTTCCTTGGTCATATTGTTACTGTACAAAGCATTGATATAGACTCAGCTAAAGACCTAGACAGACCAATAAAGATAAAATTTGCAATTTCTTAGGTTTGGTCGACTATTGTAGTAGATTTGTTGAAGGATTTTCTAAAATAGTTAGTCTACTGACACAATTGATTAGAAAGGAAATAAAGTTCTAATGATCGAGAAATGTGAAAGTAGCTTTCAAGAATTGAAACGAAGATTAGTTTTAGATTAGGTATTGACAATACCAGAAGGTTCAAAAGGATTTATTATATATAG